TGGATGATCACATGCACGAGTATGGTAAACCGTTTTCCAATTCCCGGCGTACCAGCTGGGATCCTTTGCCAGGTGCCGGAGTAACCTCCAGTGAACAAAGCCCAGGAAGAGGCGAGCCAGCAGAAGTGGAGGAGCAACCTATGGAGCTTAGTTAGGCACATCTTTTGCCCTGGGACAGGAAAAGGGCCAGCTGGCTGGGGAGTGTTTATATTGTGGCAAGAAAGGACACTACGTAGATACCTGTCTCACACAGCCAAAAGAGCATGCCCGTCAGTAACTATTGGGAAACTGAATTCTTACAAGTCTCAGCATTAAATAGTACCAAACTCTCTGAAATCACCCATTGCTCTCATCCCATCCAGCTCTCCCTTTCCGCAACCATGTGGAAGAGATGAGTTTCTATTTGATGCCCCTGGTACCACTGCAGTTGGTCATCTGTGGCTAAACAACCGTAGCCTTCCTTCATTTTGACACATTTCCGGATGGACCCTGTGCAGCCACAAAAAATGTCTGCATTCAGCCACACCCTGTGTCTCTCCCACCAGGATTATATTACCGTCTATGTCCCTGCTCGGTGAGCATCTATCTAAGTGGTTAAAACTGGTGGGGAGAAGCTGCTTGTTTTGCAGGCCCTGAGCTAAGAGGTAGGTATGACCTAAATTAGGCACCAGTAATCGGGTCTACTGCTGCCCCCACATATTCCTTTATACTGATATATCTGAAGGTTTCTAAGTAATTATTCAATCAGTAAAAATCTAACGATTTTATTAATCCCTAATAAAAATCTAACCTAACACAAGCCGCCTGTGGTAGAGAGGGATGTTTCAGATTTAGGAGGTCTGGCCATGTTGTTGTTTCACCCCTGTGCATTATTCTCTCGTCGTCTCTCCCAGGCTGAAATAAATTATAATGTGGATGATCAAGAACTGTTAGTCATCACGTCATCCAATAGGTTGGGAAACACTACTCTAGAACAACGTACTTTGTCGACCCACCCAAGTTGCTCACCGTTTTAGAGAACGCTAATTTGTTGACCTTTTGAGATCTTGTCTAAGATTAATCCTGTTACAGCCCCATTTAAACTTACCTCATAATATAAAGATTCATAACACTTTTCATGTTTCCCAGATTGCTTTCCATAACTTCTTAGGTTTCTGGTCTCCTACGAAACTAGTTTCAGCTGGGAAACATGAATCTTCATATTATGAGGTAAGTTCAAATGGGGCTGTAGCAGGATTAATCATGGATGAGATCTCAAAAGGTCAACAAATTAGTGTTCTCTAAAACGGTGAGCAACTTGGGTAGGTCAACAAAATATGTTTCCCAACCTTTTGGAGCCACAGCACATATTTCACATTAGGAAAATCACACAGCACATCCCCAAACAAAAATGTCACAAAGAGGATATTGATCATTTTTCCCCGTGCACCAGGCATAGCAGAATTGGCTCAGTTTGTCCCCAGTATACCTCTTTTGCTTTCTTCAGGCCTTCATCTGGGTCGGAATTTTCTCCAGGACCCAGGTCAGATTGATGCGTGTCAGCGTGTCATCACATGCTGTTTGATGGGGCCAGTTTTTAGGCCAGTATTGGAAATTGGAACAACACCCGCATCCCAAACTTTTTTCAAATGACTGAGCATATTGTAGCAGAGTTTTGATCAGCTAGCTTGACCTGGCAACATTTACATCGAATCTCGCTGCCATTTCCTTTTTAATGGAGGTGCACACACAGCTGTAGTTAACTTTAGCTTCATGTTTCTCACATTAGGACAGTATGATCTCATCTCACATGTTTCCCTTCAAAAACCATCGAGTTTGTAGTAGGGCTGGACCATATCATACCGTTCACGGTATTACCGGTATAATGTCGGGCAACGATAAGAAAATGAAATATCGCGATAGAATATGGGTAAAATGCGCATGTGCAGTGCTTTTGTTTTCATACGCAAATGGCGGAAAAAGCGTGCCAGTGACGGAGAATGAGAAGGGCAAAAGCGGATCGTTGAAGGAAACAGATGAATCAGAATTGGTTTGTAAAAATGCTGCAACTTCAGTGGTGTGGAACTGGTTTAGCTTTCGTCTCAGGCGTAAAGTCTGTGCTCTCTCGGCTGTTTTTTTTGTTTGTTTTTTTTGTATGTGTCGGGCTGTGAGATGAAAAGCTACAGCCGGCTGTGTGGGTACAGCAACTATGTGTGAAAAGTGGTCCATAATGTAATGCTTCAAAGCGTGTTCATGCAAACATTGTCGGGTCTTCTCATGAACCTCTGCACACAGCGTCTGCAAATCGGGGCTGTACGAAGTCACCTCATCTTTACACAAAACTGTAAGCTGTCATCTGTGAGGCACGAGCGGTGTTTGGTTTTTACCATAGTTCATGGTGGAAAATGGCTGCTCTGCTGAGTTTTGCTCTCTGTATCCGTTTGAATGGCAAACTACACTGATTAGCGGCGGCAGAGGCACACTTAAAATTTGTTCTGAAATTTTCGCTTTCTAGTTATATTTTTTTTGTATCGGACTGTGTGTTGGTACATAGTGTCGATTTTATTTGCATGATTTTATTGTAATAGTGATATTGCATGTTTGTTTATTGATATTCCTATTGCATGATTTTATCCCCATATTTTTAGTGTGTGTTTGGTGTTGTTGTACAGTATTCTTTTTATTCCACTTTGGATTAAGCGGACAATTGTAGGCACCTGTGAGGTGGGGGCGTTCCCCGAGGTGGCCTATCAGCCGCCAAACTGACTTAAGGGAGATAGTGAGCGCAAAGACGGGAAGAGAGACACACGAAGAGCGAGGAGCAGGAAACAAAACGTGTGCAGCCCAGCACATGCAAAGAAGGACCGGCCTGCCTGCGGGGCGCCACGAGATATCCGGCGATCATAACCCGGCGATCCAGTCCCGACGGACAGAATAGCAACAGTGGGAGGCGACGCGTGAAATCCACAGTAGGGCAGGGGGCGCCAAGCGTAGCTTTGCCGGGGGAGGGTAACAGCGGCTGCGCTGACAACGTTGCTGGCCCGTGTCTGTTGTTTTAGGGCGGGGCTGCGAGGGAGGCCGTGTGCGGGTGCGGAGAGTGGCTGGACTGCACGGTTGCACGTCGTCAGGCGGAGATAGGAGCCTCCTCCCTGGTCTGCTGCTGGCGAGTTTTACCATACCGGAAGAGAAGTTCCTCTCCTGTCAGCTAAGGAACATTTTCCCGCATGTGTGCGGCTGGACGGTGGGAATATAGGACTCTGGGCGGGAAGTTTTTACCATACAAAATAACCCATTCATTTAGTTTTAGTTTTTTTAGTGTATAGTTATTCCTGCCAGCAGGGCTTTTAGCGGGCTGTGAACATTAATTTTATTGTATAGCGGGGATATTAGCTTGTATTTGGGGTTTAGACTGTGTTTTCTCCTGAAAATAAATGGTGTGTTTAAAGCCGGCTTAGCTTCTGTGCTCCGAGCGCTGACCCACTCACTCCCTTTCCACTTGTATGTATACCGACGTGGTGGTGAAGATTTAGGTCCACCAGTTTAGCGGCTACATGTTCTTGTATTTTGTTCTTTATTTATGCTTTTGTTCCTAGGTTGTTTAGTTAAGATGTTCCTTATTCAATAACCCCCTGTGTGCCCCTCTGTCTATCTGTGAACCCTTGTTTCCCCTCCTTGTGTTTTATTCCATGTTTTCCCCAGCTCATTATGTCCGCGCTCTCCCTGTGCTCTCTCCTCCTGTCTGAACCTCTGTGTACTTCCTGTTTTACTTTGACAGTCTCTCCTAAGTATGTGTCATGTTGTGTTCACTCCTGTCCTGTCTTGTTACGATTATCTGTGTCAGCTGTGTTCCCCATGTGCTCCCACTTCGCTCGTTTACCCTCTGTGCATTTATGTCCACGTCTCCCTCAGTTCAGTGTCGCGTTCTCCCTCGTGACTGTGTGCCCCTCCGTGTGTTTCCTTGTGAGTCAGTCCCTTAGTACTTCCCAGTTTAGTTTCATATTTTGTATCGCCTTTATCCTCTGTCAGCAATAAAGCTGTATTTTGAGTTCAGTCCTGTTTTCCCGTGAGTTTGCGTTTGGGTCCTCTCCTGCCTGCACACAGCCTGATCATGACACACGCTTGATTTTATTTTTAAGGGGTCTGCGGTTAATATCCAGAACTTATAAATTCAGACGCAGGAGAGCCAGACCTTTGAAAACTACAGATTATTCACGAATTAAACTACGCCAGAGATTTATGCCGAAATCTCCTTAAGCTACTCAGATACTGTAAACACAATGTAATAATTAATGTAAAGGTAATAATATGTATGGTATAAATGTATGACATGTGAGGTGGTGAGCTGATTTTCTCATGGTGATGGACAGTCTGATAGATGAGGTCTGGTCTATGATATTTTCAGGTAACACTGAGATCTGTAGTGGGAGTAGGGAGTAGGTAGAGCAGAGCTTTAACAGGTGGAGATATGCTCTGGAGAGAAGTGGAATAAAGGCGTTGGTTTAAATACCTGGGCTCAACCATTCACAACCGAAGAGAGCGAAGCCCAGCTGGAGTGGGTGGAGTCAAGCTTCAGGGATGATTAGTGACAGAAGGAGAGCGGCAAGAGTGAAAGGGAAGGTTTACGGGATAGTAGTGAGACCTGCTTTGTGGTCTTTCGGCCTGCTCCACTTTATACACACACACACACACACACACACACACACACACACACACACACACACACA